TCATTTTAAAAATACAATGAAATTGCGGTAACCGTGTAACATAATTACTGTGCCAGAGTCATGAAATTACAGTACAACTAATAAAATGACAAAGATTGTAATAAAAATCACAGTAAAAATGTATGGCAATAAAATTACAGTAAAACTAAGAAATTTACAGTAAGGTTTCTGTAAAAAAAAATTACAGTCACTGGCTGGCAACCCTGCTGACAGTAATTTACTGTAAATTCTACAGTGACTTTTTTTAACAGTGTATAAGGTGGAGGATGGGAGGGTGGAGGAAAGCCCTTCTCATCCGTTGCAGAAAGTGCCAGCACTGCTGTGCCATCTTCACCAAGGTTGTCTGTAACATGCCCCCCCCACCCCCACCCCTAGGAACTAACATTTTAAGATTTTTTAATCATTTACTGATGACTTTCTAAACTATCTTGATTAAAACAATTAATAGGTTTTAGATTAAAGTCAGAACTGAAGTCAACAGTGAATTTTAACAGTTCATCTAGTATTTGTTTTCACTAATCTCCGTTTGCCGGCCATCTTTTTAGCCTCAGTTTGCACAGATCTATTTTTACCATCAGAAGTTCAATATGGAGAGCTCCAATCGGATCCCCATCCAGCAGATGAAGTGTGTTTTCACGCCAGCACAGTGAGCAGTCTGCTGCGAAGTGGAGGATCTCCAACTATCGAGCTATCTGTGGCAAATGGAAACTGGAAGCAGAGATGAACCCAAGGGATCTGCTGTGGCCCCATGTACTCCACAGTGGGCCCCATTAGATGTGACAGGTGATAAAGTGTGCAAAGAGCAAAAACAAACCACTCAGCAAAAGTTGGGAGACATTGATAAACGAAGTCGGGGCGAGCTCATCAGGCGCGGAACCTGGGGGAATTCTCCGGCAAAATGCCACCTCGATATCTTGCTGAGCCATCCAACCCAATTAGGCCAGAGGATGGGCTGCTTTGTGGAGTCTAACTTAGATACATCTTCTTCTTTTCAGTCAAAAGGGTTTGAAAAGCAAAATGCCAAGTGTCTGCGGGGCCCCCGGTTTGGCTCCGCTGTTACTGAGCCTCGCGAGTGGAACAGGGGGTCGAATTCTGAACTTTCGCAAGCTTATCTCGAACATAATTGTCAAAAAGTTACCATTTGTGTTGTTAGGGGGAGCCAACAGAACTGTCGTTTTAAAGCTGAGCAGAACTTTCTCTGCCAAACGTTTCTACAGGAACGTTTGTAGAATAAAAATGCTGATTTATTTACAGAATTTATGCAATAATTCTATGAAATAAAGCAATGTCCAACGACTTTACACATTTGCTTCCTGATCCAACCTTGTCCTCACTTTTGTAATGATGACATGTTTTAACTCAAACAGCAAAGCTTCTTATTGTGCTTCATAGAGAAACAATGCAGAACATTACGTTTTCAAAATTCTTTCAACAAAATCTTGATCTGTTTAAATGCAGAGATCTTTTTGTGAATATTAGTTCAACGTGATTTTGTTTTTTATTTACAGAAATGGTCAATGAATTGAATTTGCTTGAAGATTTTAAAACATTAAAGTTTTTAAAGATTCAGTCATAAAATAATTTAATTTACATTCAGTTTTTCATGTTTCACCATGTATGTAGTATGCAGAGGTACTTTTATCACAGGTTCACCTCACCTGTGAGATCAAGAACAAATCTTAAGAATCACATTGTATAGTTGTTAAGTGATTAATTAGTAACTTGAAAAAATTAGAACTGTATCAAATACTTATTTTGACCAATATTTATACACAGTTAATAATATGATCATCTGGAAAAAAATATGAAGTTTATGTTAAGTCTTGATTTAAAAGACGGAGTTATGTGATATACTTAGGGGTAGACAAGAGTCTCTTCTCAATGTTAGTGGCTTTAATCAGTTCTTCCCCAGTCAGTCTGACCAGATTCTTCTCCATTTAAAAATATTTCACAGTTCTTCCCTGTTTTTTGGAGCCATCTCAGGTGTGGTGTAAATGAGACCAGGCTGGGTATTGTGTGCTAGCGACTTGATTGGCAGCAGACTGTATTCGCTGATTGGCCCATGAATTTACATCAATAACATCTCAACCACGATTTTCACTTTGCAAAACACTTTGTTTTTTATTTTAATTTAATTTAATGTATCTATTATTATTGTTTGTCTTTTATCTGCTGAGTGTCTGCTGGGAAGCAAAGATTAGGAACAAGTTGTGTAAATTTAAATAAGACAGTGCCAGCTTTAAAGCTGCAGTATGCCACTTTTATTTAAAAAGAAAAAAATGTGTTTGACATATTTGTTAAAACCGTCACCATGATTTACTTAAATCATCTTCTGGCAATAAACACATTTTGCAACAAAGACAATCCCAGAAGAATCTTTTCCCTGTGCTATTCTTTAGCATGAGCGGAAAAATATCATTAAAAATAGCTACATCCCAGGGCTGCTATCACAATTACTATGTTAAATGGAGTCCAACTAAAGCTGAGCCTTTTGCAAGAGGAAGCACTGCCCCTATGTGGACACTCTGAAGATGACACTAGGAACATTCCATTGACCTTAAAACAGGTTAAGCAAGTTTAGAACCCAGACCTTCATGCGGTTTATCTGTTCTGACATGTCCACTTTTCTGTTCTACATGTCCTCAGTCTGTATGTATGTGTTTTTGTTCAGGAAACGCCGTTCAGAACGGTACAAATTTGGCGGCTGATAAGGTGCAGCATCGCCCATATCCTGTTTTTGTGGCTTATAATAACCGACTCAAAATGCCAAAAATTGTGAGCTTTTCTTCTAAAAAGGCAAACGTGTGAGATCCTTCTTAGATTTTGGATCAAACATGAGCTACAGATCCATGTTCTACAAAAACTAGATTGAAATATTTAATGTTTTCTTCTCTCTTACGCACTTAGATGTTTAAAAATAAGAAATAGTTTTTGCACTGTATGTAAGAGTCAATTTGTGTCACCCACAAGTAACTTCCACTTTATAATGTTAGCCAAAGTGGCAATATATTTGGACATACACGTGTGGACATAATTGTTGGTACCCTTCTGCTAATGACCACAAAACACACAGCAATCACTGAAATGTCTTGAAACTGACAAAAAGACGATTCTAAATGAAAAATAGCTGAAAATGAACCAGTGAAAATAAGCTGTTGCTGTTGGAATAAGGTTCAATAGAATCAGTAAAAGAGATGAGCTAATGAACCAGGCCTGGACGAGATTGAAAATACTGCAGTCCAACTACTGTGCCTTCAATACTTCTGCTCCTTCTATCCATTTCTCTCTCGTATACATCCATTTTTAGTAAATGTATTGGGCTGCTTTTTGAGCAGCCCAATACCCTGTGCAATCTTACTATGCAAGTGCAGTTGGTAACAGGAAGTGTCAAAATGTTTAAGTGAGATAAACAGGGGAGGAGTGATGAACTGAAACCTGAAAGCTCTGGGTTTAAACAGAGACAAATAATGTTTTTACAGTGAGCTCACAGTTTATGCTGTTACACTGATGTTCAGTTGGCTGGATGATGTTTGGTTTTGCCATTAGCTCACCAATGGCAAAACCAATGGTTATTTAACCAACCCATGGAAGGCTGGGTAAAGCTTATTTTAAAGCGTCTTTGAGAACTTTTTGAGGGTTGAAAAGCATTATGTCAATCTGATGTCATTCTGTGGGGTAAGGCTGTAGAGAACATAGCAACATATGCAATTTTCTTCTGTAAATTTCTGTCACGATACAGGTCTTAAATTTCATTAATGGTCATAAAAAGGTATTAAAAAGTCTTGCATACAGAAATGTATGATGATTACATGTCATAAAAACAAAGTGGAGTGTATTATCAATGTCAATGAGCATGAAATGGAAAGATTTAAGTAAGAATCTTTTACAGAGATTCATTACCTGTTAACCACTTAAATGTTAACCACTTAAATACCTACTATGTTCTGATTCATTTGTTACTTTTTCAGCCAAATTTTTCATGTCATTGGAAGAACTTTATGTTTACCTCGGTCACATGCTCAGAGCGGGTGTCTGTATCTCTCTATCTGGGGATGAAGCATCCAGGGCATGTCCAAGCTGCCCTGGCATTCCATCTCTTCAGGTGGAATGCCAACCACGACAACAAAATGCACCAGTTTCCTAGCCAGCAGGTAAATGGTACCAACTCATAAAAGTTCTAAACGGACAAAAGCAAAGTATATTAAATAAATAAATAGTTGTTGCACCTCATCAGAGCCTACTCTGTCCTCTCTTAATATATGCAGCCAAAACATGATTGTGTAAATTATCAAGTGGATGCCTCCACTTGTGTTCAATCAGTAGAGCCTCATTTCACAATCGCATCAGGCATAAATATTTACACACCAAGTCTTTCCTGTAGTTTGGAGAGATTCCAAACTACTGGAAAGATGTCGGAGAGGAAACCAAACCTGTACTGGGGTGGAACATGGAATTCAAAAAATTCTGAGCCATTTCCTGATGTCAGAAACATAAGCAAAACCAATATCATTTTCTGTTTATGCAATTTGGTCTTTGAGGTTTGTGTCTTGTTGCCTGTATGATGTACTCTATTACATGTGTAAACTGTAGACAACATAACAGCACACAGTCACTCACAAAGAATGTTAGCAGCACTCCACACCCACACAGACTGGATGTTTTCACTTGCTTTGCAGAAATGCCCTGAACCACAGACATCAGCTGGGACTTTGAGTTTGAATGTTATTTTTAATATTACTGAAGTTTTAAAAACTTGGATTAGTTGGTTAGATAAACTTTAAATGCTATTCGAATTATTTTTAGGCTTCAGAAACAGCACTAAATAGTCAATTCAGAGGTAGAATGTTTTGGTATATTTTTTATGAATGAAGGAGTGTGTTTTATTTCGAGTTGGAGTTTTTTAGTTATTTCATTTCGTATCCTTCTTCCTGCTTCTCCCGCTACTCAAGTAGATTACCTTTTCCGGTCTGTTTTTCAAAATCAAACACTTTTCTCGGAAAAAAAAATGTAATAAGGTGTTACAATTTCCTCAACTAAATTAAATTTGCTCTTCCGCTGTTTAAAAACGTTAATATGGCATAACGCCAAAAGACGAGCTTGTTTAAGAAACGGACCGAGAACGAACGACAGAAAAACAAGGGAGAAATTTGTGCTTTTATCGTTGCAAAAAGGTAAGGAAACTTCCGGGAGTAGGTTGAAAGCAGCTTGGCGCACAATTCTCACAAAACGACTTAATCTGTTCAATGTCTTCTGTCTACCGCTGGGCGAAGGCGATAAAAAGGAGTCTGCAGCGGAAATAAGCACAACAAGGTAAAAATGTCGTTATTAAATTAGCTCTGTTAAACAGGACCTACCGTTTTAGTAGCTGTTATAATTTACCGAGTGGGTTATGGCTGAACTTCACAGGTTTTTCTTTTTTCGACTGTCATTAAAGTGCCATAAATGTGGTGGCACACCTCGCACGGGTTAACGGCACTTGGTCTGTTTTATCACGCACGAGCATGCTCCTGACTGAAAAGTAAGAAAACTAGTCGGTAAAAAGCGAAGTAGCGGCCATACAGAGGGGCTTGTTTGCAATTTTCTTGTTTCTTTAACTGAAATTATTTATTTTTTCAACATCTACTTAAAGGATGCGATTCTCTTAAAGTTGGAATCGGTTGGTAGCTAGGTTGTCAAGGCTGAAAAACGTAATAATTTTCTATCCAATTTTGAGAAATATGGATTCCGTGACACCTAAATGTTTGCGTGCAACAATAGCAACCCCTAAGCCGCTGTTACGACAGACAATTCTATCACAAAATTCTCTTATGAGCAAAAGTAATAACTAAGCACCCCGAAGGAAAATCTGATCCTAAAGTGGTAACCATGGACACCGCAGTGATGGGTATGTAAGCGATCGACTTCCATCAGCTGGGGTCTCTAGGAGGGGTTAAGTGGTGGCATTAGAGATAACAGGGTTATCAGGCAGTTTCCGGAGTGTCTGACAGCCAATTAAAATGGGGAATGACTTCAGAAGATACGCAGGATGGTTGGCATACTCATTAGACAGCATTCATTAGTGTTATCTTTATGCATACAAGCTTGCAGCGCTGTGTCAAAGTTTTCACACCATCTTTCTTATGATGTTACAACCACAAATTTGAATGTTGAATGGGATTTAATGTGATAAATCTACACTAACAGTGTCCAAAGTCCAGACCTAAATCCAACAAAGAATCTTTGGTAAAGGGTTGACTCGGGAATGAATATACATTTTTGCCACAAGTTTCACTTTTTTCTTTGTTAATAAATTTGAAAACCATGTCTCA